GTGTGTGTGTGTGTGTGTGTGTGTGTGTGTGTGTGTGTGTGTGTGTGTGTCTGTTTCCAACAGGGGGCTGTGGCTCCTCCTGGTCTGGGAGCCCTGAAAGGAGAATCATTGAGCTAAGCAAAGGGCAGCTGGCCAGACCCAGCCAGGTAGGCCCCTCTCTGCTGGAGGGGAGGCCTTCCCTCCCTGGCTCTCACCTGCCTTCTCCTCCACTTGCAGCCCCCAGAAGCCAGGCTCTCCTTCCTCCGAAGCCCTGGGCTCTAGAGAAGGGCCTCACACAGGAAAAGAGGACCTGGCCCTGTTGGGGTTCCCTTTCCAGAGCCCTAGGATGCTCTGTGGAAGGGACTTTCTGGGGTTTCTGGGGCCTGAAGAATTTCACTCGACCCAGAGGGGAGTGCCTGGACTCAAAATCAGGAAGAACTGTCAGGATGGCTGACCCGTCCCCCACCGCGTGTGTTTGCACGCCTTCTAAGATTCCATGTGTGGTCAGGCGTGTTTGGGGATACATTGCCTGTTATGCTTCCTCGGTAAGAACAGAAAGTCTTGAATCAGTGGAATTTAGAACATGTCTCATCAGCAAGATTGCTAGAGAAGAGAAACGGCTTAGAAATCATAAGGAGGAAGTGACTGTCATTTTACTGTCATAGGAAGGCCGGGGCACAGCCAGGAGTCTGGGTGGAGTTTGTGCTAAGAACCAGGCAACAAGTCTGGGAGCTGGTCACCTGGGCTGGTCCTTTGCATTCTAGAATCCCCGAGTTTATCTTGGTGCCCCGGGCTTGGGGCCAAGTGGGCGCACAGCACCCCTTTGGGGTATCCTTAATTCCTGCTGAGATGGTAAGAGAGGCAAATAACTCTCCAGGAGATGACCATCTGGAGGGGCAAGGAGTTCCCCATGCCATGGGAGGCTATAGCAGGGGCAGAGATGAGGGGTGGGGTGATGGGGTGGGTCCCCTGGGTCCCCCAGGAATTAAAAGCAGAAATAGCATGGGGACAGCACAGAACTAGCCCTGTTCCTTGACTTTCTCTGTCTTTCCTCCAGGCAGTGTGACAGCTTCAATACCTGTCCCTCCCAATTCTCTGCTTCTAGGCTGGGCTGGTGTTGGAAAAAGAGGGATGGCATAAGGAAAGGAAGGAAGTGACTCCCATTCCACCCTTCTGACCACTCTTGTTTGGAGAAAAAGACCGAAGCACTGTTCTCAGAGACTTCCAAGGCAGAGACACAGGTACTGATTAATAAATCAACAACAGATCTACTGGTCAGTCAACAAGCACTCCCCCACCTCTGGGCCTTTGTACTTGTTGCTTTCTGTCTGAAATGTACTTCGTGGGGTGCCTGGGTGGCTCAGTCCTTGAGCGTGTCTGCCTTGGGCTCAGGTCATGTTCCCAGGGTCCTGGCATCGAGCCCTGCATTAGGCTCCCTGCTCAGCGGGAAGCCAGCCTCTCTCTCTCCCACTCCCCCTGCTTGTGTTCCTTCTCTCACTATCTCTGTCAAATAAATAAAATCATTTAAAAAAAAATTCGTTTGAAATGTACTTCCTCAAAATAAACACCTGTAAGGCTCCCTGCCTCACCACTCTTTTGAGGTCTAGGCTTAGAGATACCTTGTCAGGGAAGCTTACCGTGACCACCACATCTAAAACCTCTAGTCACCAATCACACACACACACACAAAACACACACACACACACACACACATCCCCTTTCCCTCTATAGCATAAGCTCCAAGGGGCTAAGGACTTTGCCATGCACACTGGTATATCCCTGGTGCCTAGAACAGAGCCAGGCATATAGTAAGTGCTCAATAAATATTCGCTGAGTACATGGATGAGTTGGTTGAATACCTACCATGTACCCACCACTGTCCTGGCCAATGAGGGACAAGGGAGAAAAAGACAAAGTCTCTGTCAGTGGTAAAATGCTTGGGTTTAGGGTCAAATTCTGCTTCCCCTTTTTTTCCTGCTCCCTCCCTGGCATCCCCAATTCAGGCCACATTGTCCATCCCCATAGTCCCTCACACCTTGGATCCAATCCATCCTCTCTACCATGGGCCCCATCATCTCTGAGCCCACGATGTCTGTGGACCAGCCTCCTGCTTGGTCTCCCTGCCCCACTCCCCACCTCCTCTATTCCTTCTTGCAGCTTCCTAGCCCCTTTTCCCAAAGCCCATGAGGCTGGAGTTATCTGATCCCTGCCTACTTCCCTTGCCTTGCCTGGTCTCAGGGCTTCCATGCTCACTGGGTTCTCTCTGTGCGGGAGGCCTTCCCAATTCCCTGCTTCTAGGGTGTCTACTGGGCAGGGACGTCAGCTGGGCCCAGGCCTCGCTTGACTTCCCAGCCTAAGTAGCAGCCTCCCACCCCCCACATGCTTGCCCCTCTCCACGACCTTTGTATGCTCTTTGTCATTAGCTCAATTTCTCTATTTGCTTCTTGGATTTTCTGTCTTCCCCTCTAAAATACCAGAAGCCCCCTGAGACCCAGGATTGTCTCTCACTGCTGCATGCCAGTCCTAAAAACAGGGACCCTCAGTAAAGTTCAGAGTGCACTGAGCGGTGGACCAGGCTTCAGATGCCTTCTGGGCCGATTACTTCCCCTCTGGAAGCCTCTCTTTGATGTCAGATGGGGAAACTACGCCTCCTGGTGTCATGAGGGTCACAGGAGGCAACTGTTGTGAAGTGCCCTAAAGACTGTCTGGCAAACCAGTGCCCGAGGTCCTGTGGTCTAGACCTCCCAGTGTCCCCGACCCTGGGGACCAGGGATGCTTAGAGGGGAGACAGGGCTCCAGCCCTCCTGTTTGGGAGTGTCAGCCTGCAGAAGGAGATCTCTGCCCTGGAGTTGTCTCCTTTGAGGGGCTGGGGTCTAAGGGGCAAGAGAGGCAGACCCTCCAGTGACCTGGAAGGCACTCCTGGAGTCAGCCCTGAGCTCCGTGGTTCACTGAGCAGCTTGGAAGTGGTTCACTAACCCAGTCTGCCCCTTGCCTTGTACTTGGACCTCTCCAACCCTTGCCTGCTTTCTGGCCTTGGAGACAGAACAGCGTCACCCTCTGCTTCTCCCCTCTCCGTTCTCCCCTCCGTGCCTCCTCCCCAGGGTCCTGCTTTCACCCATGGGGTCTTCCTCTTCTCCCAGCTCCCTTCCTCTGGGCCAGTCCCTGTCCCTTCCGCACCAGGCCTCCTCCTTGCCCTTTGCCTCCTAGGCTGTGCACTCCAGCCCTGCATTCTGACCTCCCTGTCGCAGGCTCCATGATTGCGACACACAGACCTTGTTTACCACATTCTAGTGTGGCTGGGGGCCACGGGGCTCGCCTCTGTCTCTTCTTCCTCCCAGGCAGGCCGCAGGTGTAAGGAATGAAGCAGGAACCGCACGCACACACACAGAGGCACATACATGTTGAAGGTGGCAGGGACTGATGTCAATGGGACCTCTGAGGATGACCTTTCTTTTTTTTTTTTATTTCAAGGAAAATTTATAAGCTTATGCTGATATTTTCAATTCAACATTAAGATTTCCAGAGGGTTACTTAACTTCTTTGATTTTTAAAATGTCCTCTCAGGCTAAAATTCTTGTCTCCTAACCAGTTTAACAGAATCATTTGCTTTATCCTATAATATACCTATAATGTCTCAAAATAACCATACCAATAAGGAGCTCAGATTTAAATTCCTCTGAGGCATTTTTGTCCTTAGAACATTCTATAAAGAATACATACCCAAAAGTGTGTTTTAAAGGCAGTTGAGCCAACAATTTTCTCCACGTTGTGATGCCACCGGTCTGTGAAGGTGACCTTTCTGAGGGGGTCTCTGCTTTCTGAAGCAAGTCCTTCCTTGAGATGGGAGGCCCCCAGGGCACAGGGACCCAAAGATTTCCAGGCAGACTTCATACCCATGCTGGGGACACTTCTAGCACCTTCTTTTCAGACGGGGACACCGGACTTGTTGGGATACTCTGAAGCAGCCGGTCTCTTGGGGATGGTCCCTTTTAGCCTAGTACATTCAGAAGTCGCATAGAGCAGACTGCCAGCCCAGCCCTGAGA